GTCGGGACAGGCTCACTGTTGGCCCAGAAGCCCCTCCCAGAATGTCCTTGTTCCTACCAGTTAGTGGGTTCCAGCATGAACCATGTGGATGAGGAGGTAACTGAGTCAGCACCAGCCAGAATTCCTTACTGCCTCCAGCTTCTCAGCCAAGCTAGCTGGGAGCTGACCCAGCAGATGTACTGGTTCCTGTGGCCACTTCCTGCCTCTGGTCAAAAATGACCAAATGAATGAATAAAAGTCCCCTTTTTGCCAGAAATCTCCAGCAAGCTGAATAGATCTGATGTCCACATGATGAGCAGCCAGAGTCTAAGTTGGTCTGCCCATTAAGACACTTGTTTGTGAAGTTCATAGATGTAAAGCTTCCTACTTCTCAGTTCTCAGACATGTTGCTGTACACAAGCAAAGGAGTCGCAGGGACCAGCCACTTCCGGATCCGGGGCCTCCTTCCCCTCCGAGGCATGCTGGTGAGTGGTCTTGCACCCTGCCTGGGGTTTCCACGTGGTGCTGAGCTGGGCCCCACCCACCTCTCTCCTGCAGAGGTGAATCCTAACCCAGCAACACTGAGAGCAGTACCTGCTGAGTATTTGGCCACACTGGGAGCAGCACCTGGTGGGCATTCCTTGTTGGTTGTCTCTGACCCCCATGGTCATTGTTCTTATTGATGCTCAAACTGCCCTGTCTCTAGTCCATCGTTCCCTTCTAGGGAAACCTGGACTCAGCCTGTGGTCTCTGTCAGCACCTGGCAGGACAAGGCCTGCTCCCTGCAAGCTTAGAGTCAGCCTCTGCAGCAGCATCTTCCTCAGGCTGTGTGACATCCACACCAGCCCTCTGTCCCACGTAGGCACATGCCTGGGATGGGAGCAAAGATTCCTCATTTTAGCGTGATCCAGTTCATCAACTTTGTCCTTTGTGGTTGGCTGCTTGTGTTCGATGGAAATACTGTTCTCAGGTCATGGGGAGACTTTCATGCAGCTCTAGAGGCTCTGTCCACTTGCCCTGAGTGTGTCCCTGCACTAGGCCTGGAACGGTACAGACAGGTAGCCAAGTCCAGGACTTGCCATAAGGATGTGCCATCGGTCCAGGACACCTCATCACAGTGACTGTCTCTCCCCATGGCCCTGCCAGGCCTCCTGCCTAGGGTGCCATGGACCTAGGGGCTCTAATCCCCAACTCTGCCCTATCCCTTTTGGCTTATTTGCCTTGACTACAATGCTAAAGTAGTCCTCCCTCCCTCCTTGTGGTCCTCCCTCTCAGTGATGTTCCCTCCCTGAGATCCTCCCTTGTAATCTTCCCTCCCTGGGGTCCTCCCTCCCTCCCTGAGGTCCTCCCTCCCTCCCTGAGGTCCTTCCTCACTCCCTGTGGTCTTCCCTCTCTGGTATCTTCCCTTCCTGTGGTCCTCCCTCCCTGGGGTCCTCCTTTCCTAGGATCTTCCCTCCCTAGAGTCCTCCCTCCCTCTCTGGGATCTTCCCTCCCTCGGCTCCTTCCTCCCTCCCTGAGGTCCTCCCTCACTCCCTGTGATCTTCACTTCCTGGGATCTTCCCTCCCTCTCTGGGATCTTCCTTCCCCGGGGGTCCTCCCTTGCTCCCTGTAGTCCTCCCTCCCTGGGATATTCCCTCCTTGGAGTCCTCCTTCCCTAGGATCTTCCCTTCCTGGGGTCCTACCTTGCTCCCTGTGGTCCTCCCTCCCTGGGATTTTCCCTCCCTGTGGTCTTCCTCCCCCAGGGCCCTCCCCCAGTAGGGTCCTCCTTCCCTGAGGTCCTCTCTCCCTGGGGTCCTCCCTCCCTGGGATCCTTCCTCCCTAGAGTCCTTCCTCTACCAGTGGGGTCCTCCCTCCCTGGGGTCCTCTTTTCCTGTTCTTTCTTCAAGGGTTTTGTCCACTCTCATCCCTCTGCACTGCCTCCTCCTGACAATGAGCACCAAAACCCTCAGGCAGGTGTTTGTAAATTTTTTTTTTTTTTTTTTTTGAGACGGAGTCTCGCTATGTCACCCAGGGTGGAGTGCAGTGGCCGGATCTCAGCTCACTGCAAGCTCCGCCTCCCGGTTTTTTACGCCATTCTCCTGCCTCAGCCTCCCGAGTAGCCGGGACTACAGGCGCCCACCACCTCGCCCGGCTAGTTTTTTGTATTTTTTAGTAGAGATGGGGTTTCACCGTGTTAGCCAGGATGGTCTCGAACTCCTGACCTCGTGATCCGCCCGTCTCGGCCTCCCAAAGTGCTGGGATTACAGGCTTGAGCCACCGCGCCCGGCCTGTAAATTTTTTTTTCTTTTTTTTTTCTTTTTTTTTTCTTTTTTTTTTTTTTTGAGAGGAGTCTCACTGTATCGCCCATGCTGGAGTACAGTGGTGCAATCTCGGCTCAATGCAAGCTCTGCCTCCTGGGTTCACACCATTCTCCTGACTCAGCCTCCTGAGTAGCTGGGACTACAGGCGCCCGCCACCACGCCTAGCTAATTTTTTTGTATTTTTAGTAGAGACGGGGTTTCACTGTGTTAGCCATGGTGGTCTTGATCTCCTGACCTCGTGATCCACCTGCCTCGGCCTCCCAAAGTGCTGGGATTACAGGCGTGAGCCACCCCGCCCGGCCAAGTGTTTGTAAAATGTAATTCCACTTTTCAGGCAAGAGGAGGTCAGATTGAATTAGCTCATCTGCCACCACTGGAAGCAGACCCCATTTGTTTTAAAGTATACTTTTAAAAATTACACCTTTATTATAGAAAAAATAATTGAAAATATAAGATAGAAATCACTCATCACTGACCAGGTGCGGTGGCTCACACCTGTAATGCCAGCACTTTAGGAGGTCAAGATGGTAGGATCGCTTGAAGCTGAGAGTTTGAGACCTGCCTGGGAAACATGGCGAAGTCAAATCTTTAAAAAAAAATTTTTTTTTTAATTAGCCGGGCATAGTGGTGTGTGCCTATAGTCCCAGCTACTTGGGAGGCTGAGGTGGGAGAATCACTTAAGCCCAGGAGGTCAAGGCTGTAGTGAGCTGTGACTGCACCACTGCACTCCAGTCCCAGTGACAGAGTGCGACCTTGTCTCAAATTAAAAAAAAAAAACCCACAGGAAAAAAAAAAAAGAACTCCCTCATTATTGTACCACTCAGCAGTGATGGCTATAGGCATCTGCTGCACAGTTGCCATCATCCACGGGCTGTTTTGTCAGGGCACTGGTTTTCCTTTCCTTTCATAGCAGCCCCAGTTCATTTAACTAGTCACCTGTCATTGGATGCTTGGCTGTGGCTGGTTGTTGAGGACTGTAACATTGTTGGGTCTCTGTCTTTCTGCACATCCTTAATTATGTCTTTCAGATCAATTTCAAAATGTAGATCTGTCTGAGCAAAGGTGTTTACGGCCTTGGGCACTCCTGCTAAATTGCTTTTGGAGCACCTGTGCCAGCTGACCTGCCCACTGGCAGGAGCTAGGTCTAAACATGCATCTTTCCCTCCACCATGGAAGGTGCTAGGCACCCATCTCTCTTACTCTTCCCAAGTGGGTAAGGCGAGCAGCCCCATCAAGCAGCCCCGTTGTCTCACTTTTCGTCCCTGTGGACTGTCGGGGAGGCCAGCCTGGTCCCTGTGTCCTGGCATTCCGTGCTTTTCCTCTTGGGAATCACTCAGCTTGCTGGTCACTCTGGTCTCCATTGGTCTGTGAGTTTTTTGTGCACATTAGTGAAATATTTACATGGTAAAAATGCTCACCAACCCTATTAAGTCAGAAATTATTTTCTCAGTTAGTAACTGCCTTTTTACTTTGCTTGCAATTTGGTTTTACCTTGTAGAATTTAAATTCCATCTTGATGGGCTGTGTTTCTCTTACTCTAGAATGGCATCTGGCACATATAGGGAACCCAGCAAATGCTTGTTGAAGGTGTGAATTGAAACAGACGTTCCTCAACTTACGATAGGGCTATGTCCTGATAAACCCATTATAAGAGGAAAATATCATAGTCAAAAATGCATTTAACAGGGCACAGTTGCTCACGCCTATAATCCCAGCACTTTGGGAGGCTGAGGTGGGCGAATCACCTGAGGTCAGAAGTTTGAGACCAGCCTGGCCAACATGGCGAAACCCTGTCTCTACTAAAAATACAAAAATTAGTCAGGTGTGGTGGTGGGCACCTGTAGTCCCAGCTACTCGGGAGGCTGAGCACAAGAATCACTTGAACCCGGGAGGCGGAGGTTGCAGTGAGCCAAGATCGCACCACTGCACTCCAGCCTGGGTGACAAAGCAAGACTCTGCCTCAAAAAAAAAGAAAAGAAAAGAAAAGAAAAGAAATGAAAATGCATTTAATACACTTAACCTATCTGATATCATAGCTTAGTCTAGCCTACTCTTTTTTTTTTTTCTTGAGATAGAGTTGCCCAGGCTGGAGTGCAGTGGTGCCATCTTGGCTCACTGCAAGCTCCGCCTCCCAGGTTTACGTCATTCTCCTGCCTCAGCCTCCCGAGTAACTGGGACTACAAGCACCCACCACCCCTCCTGGCTAATTTTTTGTATTTTTTAGTAGAGACGGGGTTTCACTGTGTTAGCCAGGATGGTCTCGATCTCCTGACCTTGTGATCCGCCCACCTCTGCCTCCCAAAGTGCTGGGATTACAGGCGTGAGCCACCGCGCCTGGCCAGCCTAGCCTACTTTAAATGTGCTCAGAACATACATTAGCTTACAGTTGCGTAAAATCATCTAACATGAAGCTTGTTTTATAACAAAGTGTTGAATATCTCACATAATTTATTGAATACCATACTGGAAGTGAAAAACAGAATGGTTGTATGGGTACTTGAAGTTCAGTTTCTACTGAATGCTTATCACTTTCACACCACCATAAAGTTGAAAAATCAGGGCCTATCAGGGTCAGCTCTGGCTGTCTTTTCCTTGAGGGTTTCTATCCTTCGTATGGGCTCAGGAAGTTCTTCCCCATGCCAGTATTATATTAGCACCTTTTTATGGTTTCATTTTTCTCATTTAATTAATCTCCCTAGAATTTGTTTTTTGTTTTTTGGGTTTTTTTTTTTTTTTTTTTGTGAGCCAAAGATTGATTTATTCATTTCTTGCATTTGAAGTACTCTTCGATAACATCCTTGGCCTGAGACTCCTTTCCATAGTCCTTAACTACTACACAACTGCAACCAACCATTTTACGGGGTTTCCCCTCTCTGTCAATTTTACAGAGGCCTACCCATTCTCCTAGTTTCTTGTTGTCATCAACCTTAATTAGGTTGATCTGGTGTTCAGCACAAAGGGCCTCCACCAACTTGACATACATAGGCTCATCACAGTTAGATGCAAGCACACAAAGATGGGCTTGGCGCTTGTCTAAGGCTTTGGCAGCTTCGCGAATTCCACGTGCTAGGCCATCGTGGATGAGGGCGGTCTTCAGCACCTCTTGTAAAGCAGTATTAACGTCCATTACACTTCCAGCAGCAATGCCTTCCTCGGCCATGGTGGTGGGTTACGGGTGAAGCGGAATCTTGAACGCACCCAAGCCTCCGCCTCCGCGCGACTCTGCGGCGGCAGGGAAAGAGGGGTTTTTGTTTTGTTTTGTTTTTGTTTTTGAGACGGAGTCTCGCTCTGTTGCCCAGTCTGGAGTGCAGTGGTGTGATCTCGGCTCACTGCAAGCTCTGCCTCCCGGGTTCACGCCATTCTCCTACCTCACCCTCCCGAGTAGCTGGGACTACAGGTGGCAAATTTTTTGTATTTTTAGTAGAGATGGGGTTTCACCATAGTAGCCAGGATGGTCTTGATCTCCTGACCTTGTGATCTGCCTGCCTCAGCCTCCCAAAGTGCTGGGATTACAGTTGTGAGCCACCACGCCCAGCCTATAATTTGTTTTGATAGATATTAGATTGGGATGTAACATTTCTCCCCATTATTTGTTGAATCCTTCATTTTCTCAGTGATGTCAAAGACTCTTTATCAAATGGAAGCCTTTGTCTTTGTACTCGTTCTTTCTGGGCGTTCTGCTCCATTCCTGTTTGCCCAGCATCAGTCCACTCTCTCTAGTTAGTGGTGTCATATGAGATAGTCACTGTTTGGGTGAACACATTGCATCCCTTATTCTGCCTCCTTTTAAAAAAATGTTCTTTGCTATTCTCAAGCATTTAATTCTTCCAAGTAATCTTTTAAGTCATTGGACAAATTCCTTCCAAAAACACCGTGGAGATTTCAGTTGAAATTGCAATAAATTTTTGTGTTAACTTAGGGGAAGACTGACATCTGGACAATGTTTTGCCTGCCCTTGCTTATGCTGATTCAGATTTTTGATGTCCAGTGAGAGGCTTGGTTGGTGTATCAGGCTCTGCACAGGGAAGCTGTCCATTCTGTGGAGTTGTTGGTAACTGGCTGGTCCTGGGGACAGAGAACTGGCCCTTGTTCCTGACTGTTAATGGGAGGATGATGGCTCTTGGCTTGAAGAGATCATCTTTATCATGTTAACACAGTTTCCTTCTGTTTCTAAGAGGTATTACCAGAAATAACACCTTGGATTTTGGCAAAGGCATTTTCAGCATGTAGAGAATTGATCCTTTTTCTCTCTGACTTCTGATGGGATGAGTTATCAATCAGCTTTCTGATGCCGAACCATCCTTGCATTCCCAAAACAACCTTACTTGATCATGGGACAATTCCTTGTGTGTGCTTTTAGATTAGATTTGGTAATATTTTATTTTGGAATTATTTCATCTAACCACTTATAATTAAAATTAATCCCCAGTGGGTTTTCTTTGAATCTAGCTCTATTAGGTTTTGGTCTTTGGTTCATAAATGAATTGTCCAACTCCCTTTTGGATAATGAAAATGCTCAATGTTTTTTCCTTTGCTTGATTTTCAGCTAATAGTGCTGGACCCCCCGGTGAGTATTTGGGTGCCCTCTGGCCCATGGCTCACCCCCTGGGGTGCAGCTGCCATGGCGCAAGGATGCCAGTGTCCTCCTTGGCCTCTTGTAGAGTCTGTGTGCACTTGGACAGCACTGGGCTTCCAAGCCCCACCTAGCATTGCCAGCAGTCACCTTGTGTCCTGCTCAGGCTTAGGCTGTCAGTTCCTTCTTGGCCACAAGATTTGGACCTTTTCTCCCACCTACAGGTAGAAGAAAGTGAGAATGAGTGGTCTGTTCCACACTGTTTCACCATCTACGCGGCTCAGAAAACAATCGTGGTGGCAGCCAGGTAAGGGTCTTCCATATCTCCTTCCTGAGCAGCCCTGGATGGAGGGGTGGGGACTTCCTTGCCATGAGCCTCTGAGTCCTCTGAGCTGTGAGGGGCCATGGAGCCTCATGGGGTTGTGCCCCCTTTGACTCTGAGCTCTGCTTCCAAGTTATGCAACCAAAGGAGCAGCCTTGCCCTTGTCAGGGGCAGGGCTGCTTGCTGACCCTGACAACATCCCACAAGTGGCAGACTCCAGTGCTGTGGAGCTGCTCCCTCTGCCCTCTGGTTCATAGTGCCTCCAAGGACGGGGTGGGTGAGTGGGCAGGCTCCTGTGGTCTCCCAGGGCACAGGTGCTTCCCCAACCCTCACGTCAAGAAGTGCCAGCAGCTAGTGATCAAAGCCCCAGCAGGGCAGCTTACACCCAGCCCAGCCAAACACTGCCTTCCAGTCCCAGTGTGGTATAGACTCGTGTGAGACAGACCAGGCTATGGCACAGAAACAAGTGGAAACAGCTCCCTCCTCCCCAGATAAGATCAACAGAAGGATGACACTGAGCTCATTTGGTGGCCAGGATGCAGGGACCCCTGCACGGTCACCAGCACCACACAGTGCTCTGTGAGGAGTCTCAGCTCCGACTGCAGCGCCCTGGCCAGCATCAGCGAGCACAGGGCACTCAGTTCCTACCAGGAAATGTTCACTTAATCATGAACCAGGGCCAATCTTGCATTTCAGTATCAGAGATGTAGAGAACACTGTTTCAGGAACAAACACCCCTGCAGACCTCCATTCTAGGACCGGGGCCCTGCCTTGGCTCCCCCAAGCCTGTCACAGCACCCTGGGGGTCAGGCTGATGCCGGGCCCTCCCAGCTCTCCTCCCTGCTGTTCTCGCTGGAGGGGACACGTTTCCCAGTCCTCTCCACCCATCAGGCAGGACAAAGCAGAATGTGGGAGAACAGGTGCGGTGAAGGCTCGCCCTCCCCTGAGGGCTGGGGCCCTACACAAAGGAGAGCAGAGCCACTGAGCCTCGCCCTCCCCTCCTCCCCGCAGCACTCGGCTGGAGAAAGAGAAATGGATGCTCGACCTGAACAACGCGATCCAAGCAGCCAAGAGTGGTGGTGACACGGCCCCTGCACTGCCAGGCAGCACCGTGTGCACTCGTCCCCCCAGTGAGTACTGGCCACGACCCCCCAGGAGACCTTCACTACACCTAAGTAGGCTTTTTCTGGAAGTTGTTTTCCTTGGTCCCCATTGGTCCGCTAAGCTCCCACACAAGCCCCTTCCACAAGGAATGTTTCAGGCTACGCCTCATGCCTGGGTGGGAAGAGGGGTCAATCGGGCTGCTCTGGCAGAAGCACCTGTGGTTTTGCTCTCAGCCAGCAGCTGGCCTAGCACCAAGGGCTCCCCATTTCCCCAGGGCCACCCGAGAGGAACCCAAGGGGTGGAAGTATCTGGCAAGCAGAGGCCACAGGGGGTCCCCCCTGAGACACTGACTTCTCCCCAGGATCCCCCAACGAGGTATCTCTGGAACAGGAGTCAGAAGATGACGCTCGGGGTGCCCGCAGCTCCCTAGAGGGGCATGGCCAGCATCGGGCCAACACCACAATGCACGTGTGCTGGTACCGGAACACCAGCGTGTCCAGGGCAGACCACAGTGCAGCTGTCGAGGTACGACCATGTGAGCATCACCTCAGTGCATCTGGAAGCTTCCCAGCCCTCTCTGCACTTGGTTGCTGAGGAGGGGACCTCAGGAGGGTACCAGCAGGCAGGCTTGGCCCCAGAGAGCTGCCTCTTACTCTCCCCGTGGTAGAAGGTGGTATGGGAAGTACCCCTCATCCAGTCAAACCCTCTTTGAAAAGGGTGTTTCAGGTCTGGTGTCTCTGATGAAGTCCAGCAGGCAGGGCATGTCCTCAGGGCCTGGAGCTGGTGTGTAGTGGAGCTGAGAAAAGCCCTCTTAGACATATCCTCCCGCAGCCCCCACTCCCAGCGCCTCCGAAACCCTTCACCTTGGGCTTGGAGCTTGAGGCTCTGCCCAGGCACCCTGCCATAGAGGGTGGTCCGCCCTATCTCACTGCATGGGCTCCGTCTGCCATTGTGGGTCGCCAGGTTCCTCAGCCTGGTGCCCCCACACCCTTCCCTAACTCTGCTCTCTTACTCCACCCAGAGCTCTTGTCCTTCTTGCTGTTTCCCCAGAAATCCCCCCCAGCCACAATCTGCTGGGCAGGGGCTCAGGAGCTACCCCAGCCCAAGCCTCTCCCCTGATGACCCTGGGTAGGTCAGGGTGCAGCAGGTCCCTGACATGAGCCCGCCAGCTTGTGGCCAGCCCAGGACACCTGAGATCTGAGCAGGGTCCTAGCCAGGCCTGCCCCCGCCATCTTGGACAGAGTGCAACCCCTGAGCACCGCCCTGAAGGCGGGAGGCTCACGTGAGCCCCGTGAGCTGAGCCACTCCAGCGCCAAAGCCATGCCTAATCCTGGCAGAACAGATGCCACACGCTTAGGGATGGGGCTGCAGTGGGGCATCTTGTGTGTGCCTTTACTTGCCTCTCCCCCACCCATCATTTTAAAGAACCTTCCAGACTTGGCTCAATGTACTATCTCTTAAAGTGTCTTCTCTCTTCTTGCTGTTGGATGGGTTTGTGGATGGTTGGTTACTGAATGCTAACTTTATTATGCACAGGGAAAAGGAACTCATTTTACTTGGTGCCTGGAATGTCACTCTAGGTTTTTAACATGCTTCTGTTGGATTTAAGTATTGATAAAGCTGCTGTCCATAGCAGTCCAGAGGTAAAATCAAGGCCTCGGCCGGAGAAAGCATGCAGGTAGTTAGTCTTGGGGAGTAAACCCACTCCCACAAGGCCCCAGGGAGATGGAGCTGGGGGTTCTGGGTGCTGGTTAATGCACCTGCACTTTTCCTTTATTGACAGAACCAGCTTTCAGGATATCTGCTAAGAAAGTTCAAAAACAGTCATGGCTGGCAGAAGCTCTGGGTCGTCTTTACCAATTTCTGTTTGTTCTTCTACAAAACTCATCAGGTACTGGGGTTTCACTGGAGCCCGATGCAAGTGATGCTGGCAGACACTCACCCTCCCCACCTGTGTCCCTTTTGTATTTTGGTTCTGCCCTCCCATGCTTTGCCCACACACCCTGTGCTCCCTTGGCCCGTGAGCATTTGTATGTGCCACCGTCGTGCAGGTAGCAGAGGAATGGGCGCTCCCTGCTGCAACCCAGCCCCTGGAACCCGTGTCCCTGTGCTGTCTTCCAGGATGACTACCCACTGGCCAGCCTCCCGCTGCTGGGCTACAGCGTGAGCACCCCCCAGGAGGCCGATGGCATACACAAAGACTACGTTTTCAAGCTCCAGTTCAAATCCCATGTCTACTTCTTCCGGGCTGAGAGCAAGTACACATTTGAAAGGTAATTTTGTAGGAGGCAGCCTTGGTCAGCTGCCCAGGTCTGAGTGGGACCCCAAGGAACATTGGTATCTCCTCAGCTCCCATTTCTACTCATGGTGTTGGAGGCAAGTTTTCTGGGCCCTGGAAAGGAAGGGCTGAGCAATGCTTCCAGCATTTCCAAACAAACAGCAATGCTTTTTTTTTTTTTTGAGATGGAGTCTCCCTCTGTCACTCAGGCTGGAGTGCCGTGGTACAATCTTGGCTCACTATAACCTGCACCTCCAGGGTCAAGCGATTCTTCTGCCTCAGCCTCCTGAGTAACTGAGATTACAGGCATGTGCCATGCCGCCTGGCTAATTTTTGTATTTTTAGTAGAGACAGGGTTTCACCATGTTGGCCAGGCTGGTCTCGAACTCCTGACCTCAAGTGATCCATCTGCCTCCCAAAGTGCTGGGATTACAGGTGTGAGCCACTGCACCCGTCCCCAGGTTTTTAACCCTTCTTTTGTCCTGCTTGTCCCGTAACCTGGGTTGTTCTTGGGATGGTGTGTGAGCACAAGCTGGCTTTACTGGTCTGACAGCCGCCCTCTCCTCCAGGTGGATGGAGGTGATCCAGGGAGCCAGCAGCTCGGCTGGGAGGGCCCCGAGTATCATGCAGGATGGTCCCCAACCCTCCTCAGGGCTGGAGGGGATGGTCAGGGGAAAGGAGGAATGACGCTCAACCTGCCCAGGTCTGGACACAACTACAAAGAACAGCAGGACAGAGGTGGCCTCTGTCCTGAGGCTTCTCATCAGATGGGAAGTGGCTGTAGTCTCAGTGGATCCCCACTGGCACCAACAGTGTGGGTGGGCCTCATGTAACATCTGGGAGGGGCTTCATCCCCCCACCCAAGGCCCAGTGCATGCCGCCCGCTATCTGGGGCCCTGAGAAAAATGTGCAGGTCTCGAGCGCGGAGCTGCTCACACCTTGGCCCCCAGGCCCCTGGCTCATAGACACAGGGCTTGAGCAGTGCTCTGAGCATCGGACCAAAGCCTGGGCACACCCTGCCTCTCTCCCCAGAGCAGGGTCCCTGCTGAGGACTGGCCTAGAGCAAGCACTGGAAAAGAGGCCCTGCCATACACCCTGCATACCCACTGCCAGGACCCTCTCAGACAAGTGTGGCACAGCCATGCTGACCTTCCATCTGGTGAACCAAGTGGCAGCCCCAGGGGCCCGCCCTGCAGGTCACAGCTCAGCAAGTCTAGCAGAAGCCATGCTTATTCCCCGTGTACCTCTGGAGAAGCAGAAACCAAAGTCCCCCTGTGCCCTGGGAGGGTGG